AGCACAGATATATGCTTGTCCACACTGGCTATTCTTGTACATACTTGTTTACACTGGCCACACTCTTTATGCTGTCTCCACTTGTTTATTCCTGTTTATATCTGTCAGTATCCTGTTTATTCTGGCCACACCTGTTCGTGCTATCCACACTTGTCTATACTTGTCCACACCTGACTACACTATTCATACCTGTTCACACTATTTCTGCACACAGTCGTTTCCACCGGCCACACACCTGTTTGCACTGTCTGTGCTTGTGTGTTCCTCTTTATGCCTGTCAGTATCAGTCCACACCTGTTTATATTGGTGACACCTGTTCACACCTGTCCAAATCTGTGTTGTTTTGCAAATATCTGTGCTCCTTACCTGGGTTCGCTCCTGTCTATCTTGGATATCCACACCTGCCCATACGTACTTACACTTCTTCCCCTGTGATCTGATCCTGGTCAGGAGGAACCTGGGTGCCCTGCGGCTGAAGGTGCGCCTGATCGAGGACCGCGTCCTGCCCTCCCAGTACTACCAGCCCCTCACAGAGCTGCTCATGGAGTCTGTGCTGGGGCCAGCCGAGGTGGGTGTGTCAGGCAAGTGATTCCACCAGAGTGTGCCAAGGTCTGGATCATGGCCTCCACCTGCCTTGGGGAGCCCCATCTGGGCTCTTCTGCTTGGGGTCCTCGGGCCCCAGGTCACCTGTTTGGCCTCCTGTCCCTGCCCAGGAGGATGCTGCTAGTCCACTAGCTGTGCTAGAGGAGTTGACCTTGGGGGACTGCCGCCAGGACCTTGCCACCAAGATGGTGAAGCTATTTCTCGGCCGGGGCCTGGCTGGGTCCTTTCTGGACTATCTCACCCGGCGTGAGGTGGCTCGGACCAGTGAGTTGCCTTCATGACCTTCAAGGATGGGTCTGTAGGAGGGTATCTAGGGGAGGAATGGGGAGGACTCAGGAAGAGGGTGGGGGCTCCTGTGGGGGGCTCCCTGTGCTGTGCACCCCAGATAACTGTGAGCTCAATTCCGGGTTCAGGTCCTGGTATTGCTACTCGTGAGCTGTATGACTCAGCAGCTCACTTAACCACTCTGGGCCCCTGCACTGTGAATGGGGTTGATGTTTCAGGTCTCCCTGATTATTGAGGCTAGAAGAATCATGACACCCACCCTGGGTGAATGGGGTGAACTGGGCCCAGCCCCCCAAATCTCAGTTAACACTTGCCCCTCTCCTCCCAGCTGACCCCAACACCCTCTTCCGTTCTAATTCCCTGGCATCCAAGTCAATGGAACAGTTTATGAAGGTGAGTAGGTGAAGGCCTGGGGGGCCAGGTGGCAGCTTCCTCAGGGGTCTTCCTTCCCAGTGCTCAGCTGGATCCTAGACAGCACTGGGTGGCTGGTGCCTGGCCTCACCCTGAGTTGCACCCTTGGTAGTGTCCCCTACCTCACCCCTTAAACATGCCCCTGCCTGTCTCTGAACCTCTCCCCACGTGGTCCCCCTGCCCTAGCTGAAGGGGAACACCCTGGCCTCGCCCTCAGTCCCACCCTGTGTGGTGCCCCCTGCCCCCAGCTCGTGGGCATGCCCTATCTGCACGAGGTCCTGAAGCCAGTGATCAGCCGTGTCTTCGAGGAGAAGAAGTACATGGAGCTGGACCCATGCAAGATGGACCTGGGCCGAGCCAGGTGAGCAAAGCCCACAGGTGCACCCTGACCCTCCAACAGCCCCCCTTACCCATCAGAGCCTGTCAGGCTGGGTCTGAGCTGCTCGGGAGCTCCGGGTTGAACCTCAATCTTCACATGTGAGCACATGGCTCCTCGGGCTGTGTAGTGTAGTGGTCATGGGCCAGGGTTCAAATCCCAGCTGAGTGCCCAGGGTTCAAATCCCAGCTCTGCCACTACTGGGGGACATGTGACCTGACCACCTGTGCTTCGTTGCTTCTTCAGGAACTTGGGCTCATGACCCCTGCTTGGTGGGTGGGTGTGAGAATTAGCTTGGTTATGCATGCAAAGCCTGGCACAGGGTGAGTGCTCCGTAAGTGCCATCATTTCTAGCACTGTGGTGCTGGCGGCTGAGGCCCTGTGGGGGTGGGATTCTGGAGCGCGATCCTCTCAGTGAGATTGGTAGGAAGCAGAGCAGTGACTAGAGGCCTCCATGGGCTCCTCCTTTTTTTCCAGAACTTTCCACCCTCTAGCCAAGCTGGCTTATTCCCATGGGCCATCATTTCTAGCACTGTGGTGCTGGCGGCTGAGGCCCTGTGGGGGTGGGATTCTGGAGCACGATCCTCTCAGTGAGATTGGTAGGAAGCAGAGCAGTGACTAGAGGCTTCCGTGGGCTCCTCCTTTTTTTCCAGAACTTTCCACCCTCTAGCCAAGCTGGCTTATTCCCATGGTGCCAGGGGAGCTGGTTGCAGGGTCATCCGCCAGGGACCATTATGGAGACAGGACAGATTCTTTCCTTCACTTTGGGCCCTACTCAGCAAGTGTTACCCATACATTCTGACCACCAAGAGACAGGCATCAGGACCCCTTTCTACAGATGAGGAAACTGAGCCTCAGAGAGGGGAGGTCACTGCCTAGGGTCGCACAGCCAGGAAGTTGTAAAGTGGAGATTTGAACCAGGCTCTGAGGAGACAGGCAGAGTCCGTCTGTGAAACTTCAAGGCAAGGGCTTTTCCTAGCACACCTGACAAGAATGGAGAGACGCAGTTGGGGCTCCCAGGGAGTAGGAGTATCCGGGGGCCTGGGCAGGCAGGATGGCAGGCAGACTCTGGAGCTGGCAGTCCTGAGTTCTAATCTCAGCTCTGACACTTATTTGCAAGGTTACCTCTTTAAGCTTCAGTCTCCTTACCTGTTAAATGGGAGCAATCAGGCTACTTAACTCTTCAGGTTGCCATTAGGATTAAATGATAGAATGCCAGAGACAGTGAGTCCAGGGTTAGCTTATTGGGTCCAGGACACAGTGGGGCTGAGAACCTCCAGCCTTGCTTCCCTGGAGTTCTCAGTCTGGGTGGGGCAAGTTAGACTCTCAAATTGTAGAGAAAGGAGGGAACAAGATAATTGCATCTGGAAAAGTGGTATTGGGCTGGCCGGTTAGCTCAGTTGGTTAGAATGCGACGTTGTAACAAGGTCAAGGGTTCAGATCCCTGTACCAGTCAGCAGCCAAAAAAAAAAAAAAATTGGCATCCTGTCATCCACTCAACCAAACAATTGTTGAATGCCAGGCTCTGGACCAAACACTGAGTACAGCAGAGAGCAATGGACACAAATCCCTCTTCTAGGGGGAAGGAGATAACAAACAATCTCAAGAAGAAGGCTCATGCAGGTGATCAGTGGAATGGAGGAAAACAAAGCAGGGAAGGGTCTCAAGATATTCCATAGGGTGGTCACAGGGACAGCCTCATATAGAAGGGGACATTTAAGCAAAGACTTGAAGGCAGTGAGGGAGGGAGTTATGTGAAGATTTGTTGGAAGAGTGTTCCAGGCAGGGGGAAGGGCATATGCAAAGGCCCTGAGGTGGGAGTGTGTGACTGGCTTGTCCAAGCTGAAAATGCATGGAACCAGGGCCTGTGATGATGAGCCATGACAGGGGGACAGCTTCTTTGGGAAGGGGACATTTAAGCTGAACGTGGGGGCAAGAGTGTCCAAGGCAAAGGGAACAGCAAGCACCGAGGCTGAGATAGGAGAGAGCTCAAAGTGTTTAAGCAACAGCAAGAAGCCTGGTAGGAGTGGTCGGAGGGAGGCTGCAGAGGTGGGAGGGGAAGGTGGCCGCTCTCTGAGCTCAGTGGGGGCTGGTGGAGGGTTGTGAGAGAGCAGATGCTGTGCTCCGAGGCTGAGCTGCTCTGCTGGCTCCTCCAGGAGGATCTCCTTCAAGGGCACAGCCTCGGAGGAACAGGTGCGGGAAACCAGCCTGGGGCTGCTGACAGGCTACCTGGGGCCCATCGTGGATGCCATCATGGGTTCCGTGGGGCGCTGTCCCCCGGCCATGCGCCTTGCCTTCAAGCAGCTGCATCAACGTGTGGAGGAGCACTTCCCCCAGGCAGAGCATGAGGTGGGCCAGGTGCTCCCATTGGGCAAGTGGGGAGGCTGAGTCTGGGGAGGGACAGTAGATTACCCAGGGTCACACGGACAGTCAAGGCAGAGGTGGGACCGGAACCTGAGCAGCCCATGCTAAAGCACTGTGTTTCCTGGCAGAAGTAGGGACAGTGTTCCTGGCAGGGTCTGGGACCCAGGGATGATGATGATGATGATGATGATGATGATGATGACAGCTACAACTGTCTGTAGCCCTTACAGTGAGTGGGCCAGACCTTGTTTTAAGTGTTTTATGTACTCATCTAATTCATATCTATCCCGTGAGGTGGGTACTAGTAATTATTATTCCCATTTTACAGAGGAGGAAAATGAGACCCAGAGAGGCTAAGTAATACAGCTAGAAAGGAGTGGTGCTGGGATTAGCACCCACCCAGGAAGGCTGGCTTCTGAGTCTGTGCCCAAAACCTCCAAATAATAGGGTCTGGCACAAAGCAAGTGCTTCTTAAATTTCAGCTGAGAGAGAGAAGTTGGGGGAGGGAGAGGCAGGGATCTGGCAAACAGTAGGTGCTCAGTAGGAGACATCAAAATAAAGTCTAAAGATTAATTCCTGAATGTGCTAGTGCTTTACAAACATTGATACAAAAGTTGGAAGCTCAGATGCTGTGGGCTTCAGGCAGGTGAAGTGCATAAACAGAAGTAGGTAAGGCGGGGGGTGGTAGGGAGTGGTGGGGACTGTGGCAAACTGGAGCTCCCACAGCTCATCTAACAGTGGCAGCTTCCAACAATTATTTTCATGTAGGATAGGAATGGGGCCCAGTATTGCTGGATCTTTAGAGGTTTTTGGTTTTTTTAAGCCAATATTCTGGATTTTGTGAGGTCTCTCCTTTTTAAAACGCTGGCACTAATTCACCTACAAAACCAAATAAGGGCTGGCTGGTTAGCTCAGCTGGTCAGAATGTGGTATTGATAACACCAAGGTCAAGGTTTTGGATTCTCACACCGGCCAAATGCCAGGGAAAAAAAAAAAAAGAAAAAGAAAAAACCCACCAAAAACCCAGAAAACCCAAAAAAATACAAACAAACAAAACCACTTTGGGACAATTATTACATGTTTGTAGTTGGACTGGCCTGTGGACCACCAGTTTGAGACCTCCTGGTTTAATGCGCAGCACACTTTCCAAGGAGGCTGTCATTGTTCTTGCTAACAAATGACATTGGGTAAGACTGACTCTTACATAGTGCTGATGTAACAGAAATGCAGATGCGGGGTTCGCTTTGCAGAAAGATCTAAGACCTGCTAAATGTTGGAGATGTAATGGTCTAATTCCTAGAGTCTGGGTTAAGAGCTTCTGATTTATGCCATATCTCTGTGCACTTCCCATTTACAGATGGGGAAACTGAGGCCCAGAGAGGTAGAGCATCTTGGCCAAAGCTGTGGATGCCCAGCTTGGGTCTCTGTCCTCATCCCCCTCCTCCCCAGCTGAGGAGTGAGCTCTGGGCCTTCAAAGTGGGATGTGGCTTGGTTTATGCCCCACTTTGCTGGGCTGTCACCTGGGCTGCCAGCAGAGGTGTTAAGTAGGGCATGGCTATGCCAGGGAGGACAGAAGGGAAGTGGGGAGTCCAGCTCCCCAGACAGTGCAGCCCTTGTCCAGGGAGGCAATATCAGTGACACCCAAGTGTCCCCCATTTCTCGGCCTCCAAGGTGAGCTAAGAGCAGGGACTTTCTCAAGTCTGGGAAAGTGGGAGGGGTAAGGAGAACCCAGGGAAGCCTCTTTGTCCACATCCGCTGCTCTGACACCTGTGCCTCCTGTCAAGAAAGGAGGAAGTTAACGAGCTGACATCGAAGGCTAAAATTAAATCAGAACACGGCAGGTGTGCGGGGGGTAGTGTTGTGGGTGGTTCAGGGTTCCAGATGGTGGAGGAGACCCTCCCTCTGGGGAGCTCCAGGTACTCAACTCTTGCAGGGCTCACTGTCAAGGCTGAGGTACCTCAGGAAGTTGGCACACTCCCAGGGGAGGGTATTGTCTCATGTGTGAATACAACCCCTAAATAAACACAGGAGCACACTCTCAGGCTAAATACAGCTGGGCAAGTGTGAGAGGTGGGTAGGGAGCTGGTTTGGGGGGAGTAAGATACACCCTCTCCCTGAGTTCCCTCTGCTAGAGCTGGGGAACCAGCTTCACCTGCATGTGGGCCAGGCTTGGGGCCCACACGGAGGGGCACCGTACTCTACAGTTTGTAGACGGCAGAGGCTGGGGGTGGGAGATGCACACTGGATGGGCTCCGGAGCCTGTTGAACTGGTTCACAACTGAGCCTCCTTTTCCTCATCTAGAAAATGGGATGATAGTACCTACCCCACGGGGTTGTTTGAGAATTAAATGTGGTAGTTCAGGTTTAGTTTCTGCCACTCAGTGAACACTTCGCAGTAGCTGGTGTTGAATGGCAGGAGAGTGTGGTGAAGAACAGAGTTCCAGTCCTGCCTGCGTCCAAATCCTAGCTCTACCACTTACAGCTTTGTGGTCTTTAGCAAGTGATCGTCCCTCTCTGGGCCAGTGGCATCCTCTGTAAAAGGGAGATATAATTCCTCCTGGGGTAAGCGTTAAAGTAAACGAAATGTATGGAGAAGTATCTGGCCTACTGCAATTACTACAAAAAATCATAAATCTGGGTTTGAATCCCGTCTTCTCTACTAATTAGCTGTGTGACCTTGGACAAGTCATGTGACATTTTGGGCTTCTGCTTTCTCATCTGTAAAATGAAAATAATGACGGCATCCCCCTCATAAGGCTGTGCCCTGAGCACAGTGCTTGGCCCAAAGTAGACTCTGAGGACATTTGGCTATATCTGATTTTGCAGGATTGGTATTGTTACTCCATTTTCCAGGTGGAGAAACTGAGGCTCGGAGAGCAAAATCCTCCTTGGCAGGCCAGTATGGCCTCCTGACCATTTCCCATCCCACTTCTCCTTGTACCAACAATTTCTAGTCCTTGCTACCTCAGTTTCCCCAGCTGAGAAGTGGGTTTTGGGGGCCCCACTGACCTGCCATTCCTCCTGGCAGGACGTCAAATACCTGGCCATAAGCGGCTTTCTCTTCCTGCGATTCTTCGCGCCTGCCATCCTCACTCCAAAGCTGTTTGACCTCTGGGACCAGCACGCCGACCCCCAGACCAGCCGCTCGCTGCTGCTGCTTGCTAAGGTGTCAGCAGTGGGGTTCCCTGTCCTGGATGCTCTTAGCCAGGGAAAAAGCATTGTAGGAACAGAGCTGGGAGGCCAGACCTGCAGAAGACCCAAAGGAGACCCAAAGAAATCCATGTCTGAAACACCATCATTAGCAGTCCATCCTGAGTGTGAAGACATTCATTATGCTCTCCAATTTCCTCTTTTGAAATAAAAGCCCGACCCCTCCAGGAGTAAAGTAGGAAGCAGGCTAGCAGCCATTTATACCTTAGTGGGAATTAGACCATCCTTTGTAAAGCAGCAACAACTTGAGGTTCTGAAGGGCTCCTGAGTATGCATGATAGGATTGAGCAGTGCTGGGTGTGTGTGGGGATCTGAGCTTGGGTGGGAACAGAATAAAGGCCCTGGGGGTGCAGATTCCAAAAGGGGGAGGGAGGAACAGATATTGCTCAAGGCAGGGTGCTGGTATGAGTCTTCCGTTGAACTCTGATTTGGGAGCCAGGACTGTGCGGTTCTGTTGTGGGTCCACAGAGGGCCGTCCCCTCTGCAGTACCTTGGCCCTGACATCCCCTGCTCCTTTGCTCCAGGCTGTACAGAGCATTGGAAACCTAGGCCAGCAGCTGGGCCAGGGCAAGGAACTGTGGATGGCTCCCCTACACCCCTTCCTGCTGCAGAGTATCTCACGTGTGAGAGACTTCCTGGACCGGCTGGTGGATGTGGATGGGGATGAGGGTGAGTTCTTGTGTCCTGCCATACCTCGCTTGTCACCCCACCGGGGGCACTCAGGACCCTGCCCCCCCCCAGCACACACACAGTTTTCTCAACACTGAGAATGTGGACCTGCGGGTCAGCTAGTCCGTCAACTAATATTTCCTGGCACCTACTGTACTAGGTTCCAGAGATGAACAGAGCTGGGGCCCTGTCCTCCAGGCTGTCCCAGCCAATGTGGGGATGTGGGTGGGATCATGCAATCAACAAATATCTGTTAAGTGCCTACTATGTAATGTAATAGGCACCATCTAGGTGCTGCGTACATACATGTGTGAACAAGGCAGAAGAAAATCCTGCTCTCGGGCTGGCCCGGTGGCGCACTCGGTTGAGTGTGGCACTTGGGAGTGCGGCGGCACTCCCGCCGAGGGTTCGGATCCCATATAGAGACCGGTCCACTCACTGGCTGAGCACGGTGCGGGCGCGACACCGAGGGTTGCGATCCCGTTGCTGGTCACAGTACGGGCGCAACACCAAGGGTTGTGATCCCCTTACCGGTCATGAAAAAAGACAAAAAGGAAAAAAAAAAAAAAAGAAAATCCTGCTCTCATAGAAGTTTTATTCTAGTGGTGATCAGAAGCTGTAAACAAGACGAATAGCAAATTATATGGTGTGTTAGGGAGTTTTAAGTAATAAGGAGAAAAAATAAAGGAGGGAAGGGAATGTTGGGGCTGGGGTGGGAGGCAGAGCTTTTAGACAGGGTGGCCGAGAATGGTGATATTAGAATAAATACCTGAAGGAGGACAGAGAGAGAGCCATGAGGATCCTGGGGAGGAGTGTTCAGGGCAGGGAACAGCATGTGCAAAGGCCCTGGGGTGTGAGCAGTGTGAATGAGGGGGAACTAGGGGGAGGTGAGGCCAGAGAGGTGAGAGGGCCAGACCATGAGGGGCTTTTGAGGCTGCAGGAAGGATTTTGGCTTTGACTTGGAGTGAACTGAAGCTTTAGGATGGTTTTAAGTGGAGGAGTTGAGGTTGAGTCCATATCATGGTGTGGGGCTCAAGTCATGACATAGTTGGGTCCAAGTCACATAGGAGCAACCTGTTGGAATGTGGAGCCCTAGTTGTGGCATGGTGGGGCCCCTGTGGTGCTGGAGAGGGGACCTGTGCCCTGGCTCCCTGAGCATGGATAGATCCAGAACATCCCCTGCACTGGTTTGTACAGGCCATGGCTCCCCCTGCTGGCTGCATGCACCACCGCCTGCAGATCCCTCTGGTTGGAGAGGGATTGTCCAGGTCTACTCTGTAACCCTCAACCCCCGCATCAATGACACCATTTGCTGTTGAGGGAGTGGCGTCCAAAGTGATCACGTTCCTCTCTCCTGCCTCTGGGAGAGCAGAGAACCAAGCTCATCCAGAGGCCCTGGCCACACTGGCAGGTTGAGTTTGGGCAGGAAAGGCTCACTGTCCCCCACTTCCCTTCTCCCATTTCCCAGAAGCTGGTGGCCCAGTCAGGGCCCTGGTCCCACCTTCGGTGACTGTTCGAGAAGGCTACCTACTAAAGCGCAAGGAGGAGCCTGCTGGCCTGGCCACACGCTTTGCCTTCAAGAAGCGCTACTTCTGGCTCAGCGGGGAGACCCTCTCCTACTCCAAGAGTCCTGAGTGGCAGGTGGGGCTCCATCCCACCATGAAGGGGTTTCCTCCCTCACAGAGCTGTCTCTTTATACCCATGGGGAAACTGAGGCCCAGAGTGGGGCAAGGCGCCATAGCAACGGAGCAACTCCCAACTCTCAAGCCAGGCTCTGCTCACAGCTTCAGGCCAGTGCAGGCACAAGACAGGGACAGGAGTACACATCACATGTCCTTCAGAATGTGCACACGTAGTGGCCTGGACATAGCCTTCCAGATGTAGACACACACAGGGCATGGACGATGGAACCAGCCTGCAGTGTTCCCAGATCTATGCCAAATACTGTACAGACTCACGTAAAATTGGATGTGCTCATTCAGAGGTACATGCCCAGGTGTATGTGCACACACATCCAGGCATTCATTCCCTGATTTATTCATTCATTCATTCAGCACACAGTTATTGAGTGCCTACCACGTTTCATGCACTGTTCTAGGCACTGGAGATATAGCAGTGGACAAGACAGAGAAAATTCCTGTCTTCACAGGGCTGACATTCATGACTAGCACAAATGAGACATGTACTGAGATCTACCCATTCCTGTAGGCACACCCATAGATAACAACAGCTAACACTCAAGAGGGTGTCCACACCTACTATTCTATATTGTCAACAGAGTGTAGATTCTAGAGGTTAACTCCCTGGGTTCCAATTCTGGCTCCATCAGCAGAATAACCTTGGAAGGATCATCTATCCTCTTGTGCCTCAGTTTTCTCATCTGCAAATTGGGGAGAATAATAGACCCAACCTCAGAAGCTAGTTGTGATGATTGAATAAGTTGATAAATATACAGTAAAGGGCTTAGAACTGCATCCCAAGTGGTAGCTATTATTGGTATTATGAAAAGGAAACTGATGCCCAGAGAAGTTAAGTCACCTAGAGAGTGATGGGGCAGGACTGCAGGAGTCGTGAAGCAGCCAAATGGACAGGCACACAGAGCACAAATGTACAGGGTTGAACGTCCCCACTTGTGGGGACTCTACCTGATGCACACACCCAGAGAGAAGCTGTCCCTGGGCCCTCCTACCCTGGCCCTAGCCCCTAGCCCCCAGCCCACCCCGCAGTGGCACTCTTCCTCCCCAGATGTGCTCTTCCATCCCGGTGTCACACATCTGTGCTGTGGAGCGTGTGGATGAGGGTGCCTTCCAGCTGCCCCACGTGATGCAGGTGGTGACGCAGGACGGCGTGGGGGTGCTGCACACCACCTACCTCCAGTGCAAGGTGAGGCACTACAAGGATGGAGGGCAGAGGGCTCCCTGGAGTCGTGGAGCGTGTGGATGAGGGTGCCTTCCAGCTGCCCCACGTGATGCAGGTGGTGACGCAGGATGGCGTGGGGGTGCTGCACACCACCTACCTCCAGTGCAAGGTGAGGCACTACAAGGATGGAGGGCAGAGGGCTCCCTGGAGTTCCCTTCCACTCCTGACTGCGCCCCCCCACAGAACGTGAACGACCTCAACCAATGGCTGTCAGCCCTGCGCAAGGCCAGTGCCCCCAACCCAGACAAGCTGGCCACATGCCATCCCGGGGCTTTCCGCAGCTCACGATGGACCTGCTGCCTCCAGACTGAGCGCTCAGGTAAGGGGGCAGGACAGACTGCAGCCTCCACATTCCAAACCTGTCAGTGAGCAGGTGTCCCAACTCCACTCGGGCTAGCTGTGCAACCTTGGGCAAGTTACTTAACCTCTTTGTGCCCCAGTCTCCTCAGTTGTGAAATAGGGTTAATAATAGTGCCTATCCCAAAGAGTTGTGAGGATTAAATGAGGTCATACGCACAAAGCACTTAGAACATTGGTCGGCTCAGAGTGCTCATAAATGTGAGGTTCTGTTTTTTTAAGCACCCACTATGTGCCAGGTGTCCAGTGGTGTGTGGACACACATTGCCTGCTTGCTCTCAAGGAAGATGAGTGCATAACTGCACAATTATAATTTAGTGATGTGAGTGCCAAGATGAGGCTTTTGAGACTCCAGTGAATGCCTCTGACCCAGCCCCAGGGTGGGAGATCAAGGGGGACTTCCTGGAGGAGGTGCTGCTTAAATGTGACCTGAGTAGAGAGTTAAGCAGCAAAGTTGGAGACAGGGATAAGGTAAGGAAGAGTGTTGCAGGCAGAGCAAAGAGCGTGAGCAAAGGCCTGGAGGTGAGACAGAGCAGGCTGAAGGATCGGTGCCTAGAACGTGGAAGGAGGACAGGGAGAGGCGAGACTGCTGGTACAGTCCAGGGAGTGGCAAGGGGGATCGGACGAGAAGGCAGGGAGGCCAGGGAGGGGGCTACTGCTGGAGTCCATGGGGAGTGGCAATGAGAGCTCCACACGAGTGGAGGAAGCAGGGTCTCGAAGGAAACAGTAAGTTTCAGGAGAGATTTCAGAGGTAGAAAGGGCAGGACTTGACAACTGCTGGGCCATGGGCTTCTGGAAGGGGAGGGAGGATTTACTGATGATGCCGCGACCCCCTCAGCTGCTGGCTGCAGCCGCACGCACTCGGCCGTCACGCTGGGGGATTGGAGTGACCCGCTGGATCCTGATGCTGAGACCCAGATGGTATATCGGCAGCTGCTCCTGGGGCGGGACCAGCTCAGGTGGGTGTCCCCGCCCACCCTGCTTCACCTCCTATGATAGCTAGGCCAGCCACAAACTGTGGCCTCTCTGGGCTCCTTTACTCATTGTTTCCATTTGCATGGGTGGAGCTTCCTGGGGTGCCAAGCCCAGGGTGAGGACTGGGTGTCTACAAAGTCAGGGTTTGGGAAGCATCCTTGGGCGAGTCCTAATGCAGAACCAGATCTTAGGATCTTTTAATACCTGGGGCTCCAGAGACACAGGCACAATTCACATAAAATCCTGGCCTGCTGAGCTTGCTATATGACCTCGGATATGTCCCTTCCCTTTCCTGGCCTTAGGATCACTGTTATTCAGTGACAGAGATTTGCTCCAACCCATTATAGAGTGGGTTCTGAAGCTGACCTGCCTGGGTTCAAATTCTGACCTAGCCACTAACTGACTAGGTGAGCTGGAACAAGTTTCTTAACTTCTGTTTCATCTGGAAAATGGGGATAATAATGATACCTACCTCATGGGATTGTCCTGAGGATCAAATGAGCTACTTACAAGCAAAGCTGTTTGTAGGTGCCTGGCTGCACAGTTAGCTTTCAGTAAATGGTAATGATTATTATTATGCTGTGTGACCTTAGACAAGTTACTTTACCTCTCTGTGTCTCAGTGATCATCTATATAATGAAGCTAATAGTACCTACTCACATGAGTACCACTCAAGTTTGTCATGATAGTTAAATGAGTTAATACACGTAAAGGGCTTAGAACAGTGTCTGGCACTCTAGAAATGTTTGCTGTGATGATGATAATGGTGATGATTCATGGGAACCCGTAATTTCTCCTGCAACCAGCAGAGATTCTCTGGGGTAGGGAGCAGAATTGGGAATCAGGTTCTAGCCTTGTTTTTCTCCCTCTTAACTCCCAGGATGAAGTTTCTGGAGGATTCCAACATGAATACAACTCCAGAGGCAGACATAGGGAAGGGCTCCAGTGCCACAAAAGGTAAGGGGTTAAGGAAGTCCCTTTTCTTTTCCCTATATGACACTTCTTCACAGCTTGCCAAGCACGCCTGTGTCCTTCTGCCCACCCTCCTGTTTCCAATCCACTGTTGGGCCACAGGCTGTGTGTGTGTGTTGGGGGGTGGGGGTGGGACTCTGGTACATTTTAGGATTCTCAGGGCACATGGCAAATCTGCATTCTGAGAAAGCCATTGGGTTTGGGTTATGGCAGCCTGCCCTGGACTGGCTCAGTCCCTGTGTCCCCTTTCTCTCCCTCCCAGGGGACTGTCCTGATGTCCTGGTCCAGCAGAGAGTGGCAGCTGCCCGCCTGCTGGAGGTGCTCGCAGACTTGGATCGAGTCCATGAAGAGTTCCAGCAGCAGGAGCGGGGGAGGGCAGCCCCAGGCACCCTTGATCCCTGAAAAAAATGCCAGAACCAGCCTGCAAGGAGCAAGGAGCCAAGAGGCCCTCCTCAAGAGTCTCCTTGTGGCTGTCCTATACCTTTTTGATGATGTGGCCTGGAGGCTCCCAGAGACATGCCTAGCCCTGTGTATCCAGAACTCAGGGCATGGAAGCCCTTTGGCAGGGCCAGCCTGGCACTGAGTGAATCTCTCTCTGGGATGAGTCAGACTAAAGTGGATAGATTAAGTAACCTGACTTATTTGTCTGAGCCTGGGGTTTCTGCCTCTTCAGACTAGCCTCTCCCCACACCGTTGATGCCAGCCTGGCCCTGAGCTGCTGGATATAGCTGCACCTGAATTCCTGCTGCCCATGTGGCCTTGTTACCCTAGACAGGCACTAAATGGGCTCAACCCTTCCTGTTTTCATGTCTACAAATCCCTGTAACCTCACTGATCATTCTGCAGCCTTCCCTTGGCCGAGAGCTTCAACCACAAGCTTCCAGAATCAGATGCCCTCAGAAAGAACTGAGGCTGGCAACCCATGGCAGCCCCATGTGCCAGACTCAGACCCTTGGAGCCTGGGAGACCATGGGCCAGGCTCTTTCTCCCCCTTTGAGCCTTGGTTTATCCTGTGTGAATTTAGATGTGTGGTTTTCAAATTGGATTGTATCAAGGTAGCTCAGGAGCCAGGGAGGGGTTTCTCAGACTGTGGTCCATAGTCCACCCCCTGGGGCATCTGCTAGAAATGCAGATACCTCGGCCCCTCCCAGCTACTGACTCACAATCTGAGGGTATGTGGTGGCAAGAATCAGGGTTTTTAACAAATTCCTTAGGTGATGTGGATGAACATAAAGTTTAAGGATCACAGGCCAGGGGAATGGGTACTTTTATATATTCGTATTAGGGTTTCGGGTGAGATTTTGTTTGAGAATGAACCACAGACTGTAAAATGTTTGGGAACGCCCGACTGGCAAAACTGGAAGGGCCTCCAAGGACTCACTTCCAGTTTGGTGTCACTATAGGGTGGGACAGAAATTGAAGTCTACCTGGCAGAGGATCAAGTGGACCAGGAAAGATAGGAACTATCCCGTGGGTGGCCAGCAGGGGTCACCTGGAGCCCAGCATTCACCACAACCTGGCCAGCATCCTGGCCTGTTGTTGGAGGCTCATATTTGAGGATTGAGGATCCTAGGGTTCCCAGACAGAACGTGCCCCTTTCCTCCGAGGGCGGGAGCTGGGGCCCTGAGGTCCGATGAGCTTGGTCACAGTGTCTCCTGGCTCCTCTGTATTCTCCCAGAGGCTCACAGCTCTCCCCGAGTTCTTTGTTTCTTATAATTGTGCCAAGGGAACAGATGTGTGTATTGCCTTGGGCTCTTGTGAAAGAGAAAGGAATTTTCACCTCTGCATTGCTGAGGACTAGGAGTAGGAGGGTCTGTCTCTACCCCAACCATCCCCCTTCCTACCCTAGGACAAGAGAGTTATGGTGACTCTCCACTTCTCCTCCAGTGGCCCAAGGCAATGACCCTGAGGTTGCTATTCTCTTGTAAGCCATCCCTCCCTGATGGGGCAGACTTAGGGCACCCAGAAACAGAGCCACCCACCCCCCTCTTGGCAGGAAAAGACTGAGTGAGGAGGAGAAAGACCATTTATTTCTCCACCCACAGTGGGACTGGTAGGTTTTCAGAAGAGCAATCGCTGGCGTCCCTTTAAATCTTGGCTGACTACCACTGTGGCAGCCAATCAACAGAGGCGGAGCTGGTGAGTTGCCTGGGCAACAGGCCCCTGGTTGGCTGGAGACTATTAGCCACCCCACTGCCCACGCCCAAGGAAAGGGAATTTAACTCTTTGTTGTCTGCTCTGCCTTTTAAACACGCTGGCCTAAACAAGGCGGCCTCCTCTTGCTCCTGAAGCCAGAATCTCCAGCCTTTGGATCTCAAAGTTAGAAGTAATTTGGTGGAGAGGATGGGGTGGGGAGTAAAGGAGAACAGTGCCTTTATCTGGGACAGACATAAGGCCTGGAGATGGGAAAGAAGGAGGTCAGGGTCCCAGAAGGATGAAGACACACAAGCACAAAACAAGATACCCCTAGTCCCCACTTGCACTGGCCTGTCCCTTTGTAAAACTGCTCAGTAATCTATGGGCTTCCTCCCCATGGGCCCACAAGTGCCCAGTCACTTGGTGGTAGAGATGAGAGATGGATACAGGGTGGGTGAGGCATGGGGGTACACTGAGCTTCCCAAGTCCCTTTCCCCCCAGGATCCCCAACAGGCCCCTAAGTACTTGACCTAAATCCTCCTGTTTGCAGATAAGTCTGTACAGATACAATAGAGACATAGGTGGGAATCCACATGGGGTATCACAAGGGTCTTTCTGTCTCTTCTCCCCCAGCTTGGGGTTAAGTAGAGGCACGTGGGTGTGCGTGCATGTGTTCAACAGGACACGTGTATTTGTGTGTGATGGGGGTGGGTCTCTGTCTTTTGGTAGGGAGGTTGCTGTGGTTTCCGGTACTTTCTCTGCAGCCCTCTCAGGGAGCTACGGGTTGGAGCTGGCTGGCCTGACGTCCTCCTGTCATCCCAGCTGCCACCAGCCAAATCCCCTGAATGCTTCCGGCTCCTTCTTCAGGCTCCTCCCATCCCTGAACCTGGGCCACCAGGACACCCCTGGCGGAGGGAGGCATGTGCCAGACCAGGGGCAAAGCAGGAGGAAAGATGGACAGCCTCGGGCTTCAGGCCTTGGCCGCAGCCTCGGAGACACCCTGGGCTGTGAGCTCAGCCAGCACGTTGTCTAGGTAGCTGGCGTCTGGGTAGCCATGGCCCGTGAGGTTGGATCCAAACTCGGTCTTGTGGTGGATCTCATTCCACACCACGGTGTCCGACTCGCCTGTGGTGTTGGATGTGCCGATGGTGAAGATGAGTCTCCGTTCCCAGGCTGTGATGAGCAGCCTCAGCACCTGGAGGGCGGGGGACAGGCTGGGGTGGGGCGAAAGTCACAGGTAGACTCCATCCCCACCCCCACCCCACCCCTCCTGGCTCAAGCCTCGCCAGCCTCAACCTCCCTTCCTCCCCTGCCACATCATGACCCAGTTAGCACCTACTAAATGCTGCTGGGCTTGGCCGTTTCCTTCCCACTTGTATTTCCTGGACTGACTCCACCTGTGAGCTCCCTCAGTAAAAGCTCTTTCCAAGTAATCTGCCTGTTTTTTGGGGGGGTGAAGGAAGGGTCTCAAGCTGACAGCCCTCAGCTGCATTTGGTTTGGACCCCACACTGTATTAAATAGCTACTTTGTGAATTAGTTGCTAACATTCAAAAATCAGGAGATTTCACTGAAAATCAGAATTTTTGGCTTCTCTTGAAAAGCAAAATAAAATCAGACAACCTGTAGTGTGGTGGTGAAGGCACTGGACTGCTTGGGTTCAAATCCCAGCTCCACCACTTAGTCGCTGTGTGACTGTAGGCAGGTTACTTACCTTCTCTGACACTTTGTTTATCTGTCAAATGGGGTCAAGTCCTAGACCTCAGCAGGTTGGTAAATGAGATGAGGTGTGTAAAGTAGGTGGTTGTGGTCAACGTTATCTGAGTGTGGTTTTGGGGAGGAATGTGAGAGCAGGGATTAGGGAAAGGGGGACCACAGGCCCAGGCTAGCAACGGCTGGGACCCCTGTCCACGTCCATATCCTTGCACCCTTGCAGCTGGCTGGGCACCCACCTTCCGGCCCTTCTCATTGTTGGGCAGATAGCAGTGGCGCGGGAAGCCTCTTGCGGTGAACTTCTTCCCCGGGTTGGGGTGCTCAGGGCCCTGTGGGGAAGGGTAGCAGGGGCTTCAACCACAGACAGGTGGAGGGGGGGTAAAGGGGGCTCCAGGGTCAGAGGGACCAGCGGGGAGCTCACCTGGATGCCTGTGGGGATGTCATAGACAATGCGGATGGTCTGGGTGTCAGCAAAGCCGGGCAGTGAGTGGGGGATGAGGTGGAACTCCATCTTCCCAGGTGGCTGAGTACCTGTCTTCTCCCCATAGATGGCCTTGCAGGTGGGGCACTGCAGGCTGCCATCCTGGGGTGGGGGAGGCTGGCAGTGAGTGAGTTCCCCGATGTCCTGACCCTACCTGCTCCCAACCCACTATCCTACCCGGCCCACCTTGTTTCCATTGGAGTACATGGCCACGAGGCACAGCAGGTGGTACATGTGGCCACAGCGGCCCAGACGGCCAACGAGCTCAGGCCGCACACCCTTGTGCCGAAGCACACCTTCGTAGCCAGATGCTGTGACCAGCCGCTCCATGCAGATAGTGCAGTCCTGGGGGGAGGGGGAATACGGGAGACTGGGGACCAGTGAGGATAGGATACCTCCTGAGCAGGAATCGGGCCCTTAAGCCACTATGGACAGCAGACCACCCCCCTCTCTGGCACCCTTTTGGCAAAGGGAGAGAGGACACCCCCCACCCCATATACTGAATTCAGAAATATCACAGAGAAAGCAATAGCTCTTTCCCTCCAGATGGATTAAAGGCTTAACTAACAAAAGCAAAACTCAATAACCTTGAGTGGGAAATATGGGTGAAAATATGACACAAAACTGTCAATCATCAAAAGATTGATAAATGTGCTTCTATTAAACTTAAGAATTTCTGTTCATCAAAAGACCTAGAATAGAATTGTGGTTACTAGAGGCTAGGAAATGCAGTGGGGAGAGGGGATAAGGAGAGATTGGTTAATGGACACAAAATTATAGGTAGAAAAAATAAGTTCTAGTGGTGTACAGTTGTGCTAGGCATCTATAATTAACAATAATTTATTGTATGTTCTCAAATGGGTAGAAGAGAGGAGCTCAAATGTTCTCATCGTAAGGAATGATAAAGTCTTGCAGTGGTGAACATACTAATCGCCCTGATTTGATCATCACACATTGTGTACTTGTATTGAAATATAACTCCATACTTCCCCATAAACACATACAATCAATATGCTTCAATTAAAAAATAAATAAAATCCTTTAAAAAAAAAAGGCTTTGTAAAGAAAGTGAAAAGGCAAAGGACAAACCAGGAGAAGAGATTTGTAACATTTAGAACCCAGGAGGACCTCGTATCCTGGATTCCCCTCCTCTGGAGGCTAGGCCTCCTGCCCTCCACCCAGGCCCAGACCCTCTCCTTTGGCTCACCTCATCAGGTGGGTTTTTCACCTTCTGCATGTACCTTCGAACCACATCCTCTGGGTTCTTACCTGCAGGGACACAGGGCAGGTGGGCTTGAGCATATGCAGAGTCTACACCTGAGGGCCTGGCTCTGGATGGGGTCAGGGGTCAGAGGGCCGGGGTCGGGCTTGTAGGGGTTGGCCAGAGTCAGATGTCAGGGGTTGCTGGAGGTTAGATGTAACAGGAGTTCGTCAAGGATGGGGTCAGGGGAAGGGAAGCTGAGACAGGAGAAGGAGGTGAGGTCACAAGTCCTAGGAACTAACTGGAGTACCGGTCACGGGGTTGCGGTCAAGGTTTAGTGGGATTTAGTTCAGGGGTCAGGGTCAGCACGGGAAGCATACTCTTCTTGAGGTGCTTCTTCTTGGTCTTGCGGCACACACCGGGCACGCCGGGCACGGGCTTGACATCGCTCTTGCTCACGGGCGGCGGGTGCAGGATGGGCTTGGGGGCCCGCGTCAGGCACACCGGCAGCCCGGCCGCGCACAGCAGGATCCCGGTCATCCCTGGGGCGTGGCGGGGCCGGTCAGGAGGCGGTGGCGCCATGCCGGGCCCCGCCCCCTGCTCGCCCGCACCCCTCGTCTTTGGGCGGACGGATGGCTTCTCCCGCGCGCGCCCCTCATCCCCCAGGAGGACAATCTGCAGCAAGCAATGTAGCGGCAGCCGGAGCCTCCCCCAGACCCGACCCTCTGGTCACGACGGGGAATCCTAGGGTCCTCAGGTGGCGGGTGGGTGCGGTGCCTTCCGTGGGCCCCGCCCACCCCGCTGTCACAGGCTCAATGGTAGGAGGTGTCTCCCCGGGCCCCGCCCTCCAGCCCGTCGAGGGGCGGAGCCATAGGCCTGATAGGCGGGGCTGCCTCCTCGTGGGCTCCGCCCTGCTCCTTTCCCGTCCTGGACTGGACCTCACCTGCTAGGGCTGGGTGCACCGGCCCCGTACCATTCAAGTTCTTCACCGGGAGCGCGGGGACCCTGCGGGGAGAAGAAAAGAGGCCGCAGCTGGACTCCAGCCCCCCAGAGCAGATCAGAGGACCTTGGTTTGCCTTCCGTTTCTGATTCCTGGAAGCAGCTCGACCTCTTTGTGCGTGTCTCTGTCTTCTAGGATGATCATCTGGAAACTCCATTCCGACTCTGACATCCTATTACGGGGTAGGGAGTGGCGACCCTCCGCTCCTGCTCTAATGGGATGCACCCTTAGACTTACTGCTGATTGTTCTCACGCACAGCTGGCCTCCTCCCTGGTGAGGGCATTTCAGCTCCAACAGCTCCCATTCATTGGCCACTGTGCCTGGAAACCAACTAATAGTGATTTAGCTATTCTAGCATCTCTTCAAGATTGTTCTGTGGAGCACTAATTCCCACAGAACGTTTGGAAAGGATTCACGGATCGAATAAGTTAGAAAACACTTCACTGTCTCCCTTTCATATACACAACATATCTGAGTATATTAAAGCCTCTGATAAGTCCCGCATAAGGGTATATGGTTAATGATGGTAAATCCAGGTTTTCCAAAGACATTCGATAACTAACGTTTTTTCCCCTTCTGGAATATTTACTGATGTCAGTTACTGTGACTAAAGCATTGGCCCCTCTTCAAGTAAAGAGCCCCTGGGAAAAGGCATCTTGTTCCCCCTCTTTCCCCTGCCCCCCAAAGAGCTCTGGCTTTTGGAGTCAGTGAGAGCTGCTTTCATATCTCAGTTCAACCACTGCAATGCTGGGCAACACACAGCACACCATCTCACCTCTAGTAAGCTTGTTTCCCCATCTGTAAAATGGGGATAATATGGTACCTTCCTTTTGTTTGCTGTGAGGATTCAATGAAATTCTACCTGTCAAGGGCTGAGCACAATTCCTGGCACCTACTAAAAACTCTAAAAGCATTAGCCATCATCCTCATTACCATCAGCTCTGTAATCTTGGCCATCTCAACCACTGAATCACAGTGTAACTTCTCTCCATTTTAGAGAGCAAACCACAAAAGTGTTGCAGTGACAACCTTGAGCAAGTCACTTAACCTCTTGATCCTCAGTTTCCTTATCTATAAAATGGGCATAATGACACTTCACTTACAGGGGTGTTGGGAGGACTGAAGGAGACAGCTTGCTGCAACTGTACAATGTGCCCGCCAGAGTCTTCATTACTTTAGCACTTGCTTAAGCAGGTGAACTGGTGTCTTGCTGTTGCTGGCATGGAACCCTGGCTGGATAAGTTTTGAGGCAGACAAGGAGTGTTCTGAAATCCAGAGGCAGCCTGAAGGGCTTGGGGGATGTGTCAGGAGGGGGTGCAGGAAGGAATGGGGGCAGTGACAGCTGGAGAAGGAGCTGCTACAGCCCTCTTTGTCTGCCTGCTAAGGTCTGAGTCTGGGCAGTGCTGCCTAGTCATCTGTCCCCAGCAAACACAGTCAGCACCGGGGAGCTGGCCAGGGAGCATTTTTAAGCAAATGGTGCCCTTGGTGGGCTTGGGTACTGCTGCAGTGGGTACAGACACACAGACACACACACCCTGGGAATATGCACTGCATACAAATGCACACATATTCTTGGGGAACACACCATATACACAGATACAGATATGCACACGTGTACATGAAGAAGACCATACAAACTTATACATACACACCTAAGGAGCACACTACACACATGAATACATATGGAGACATACAAACAACACTTCTGGGTTATAAAAGCCAATCTTGCTCCTGAGAAAAGGGTTGTGAGTGGGGTGTGGCAGTGGGGCTCTTTTTATTTACCCATTGGCAAGCTGGGGGGACAGTCCCGAGATGGCCCTCAGCCTCTCTCAATCCGCAGGCCCCTTACGAGAACCCTGGGTAGCAGAGTTCTCACGATGCCTGAGCGTGAGAGCCACCCAGGGCCTCCTTTTGATGTGGGATGAGCTGTTTCCTCCAAGTCAGTGAGAACATCCTCCTGCCCTGGACAAGCGACTACTGCCCTTGGGTCTCCCAGAAGGGGGGCCAGGCTTCACCCCCTGCTCTGCCTTCTTGGGGCCCAGCCTGGCAAAGGGGTCCCCTGGAAATCTGCTCTGACCAGAAGCCAGGCCTGGCTTTCCCAGGGCAGGGATAGGTCCCCCTGCCCCGCAGGTCTCCCTCTGCCTTTCCCAACCCTCTATCTGATCCTGTCTGTCCTCTGTTCTCCATCCTCCTGTGTTTCCCACCTTGCCTAGAGTAACATCTGACTTCCTGATCTGGCTCCTCATTTCCTGTACATTCACGTCTTGCCCACTCTTCTCCAGCCACCCTGGTCTCCCTGCTGTTCCTCAAACATGCCAGGCACATTCGCACCCCAGGGCCTTTGCACTTACTGGTCCCTTTCCCAGGATGCTCTTCCCCAGATATCCTCATGGCTTGTTCCCTCACTTAACACAGGTCTTTGTTCAGATGCCACCTTATCAGAGAGACCTTCCCGACCACTTTACTTTAGAGAAGCCCCATCTTTGTCTTTCTCTTACTTAACTTCTTTCATAGCACTGATCACGACCTGGATATTATCGAGTCTTTAAGCATGACCAAGCCCCATGTGATCTGGCCCATCCCCGCCTCTGTGACCTTACCTCCTACCCCTCCAGCTCTGCACTCCAGACAAATCAGCAGTTTCTCTAATGTGTGATCATGGTCACCCTTTTAGGCCTTTGCACTTGCTGGCCCCTCTGCCTGAAAATCTTTTCCCCCAGATCCCAAATGGCTGGCTTACTCAAGTCTCTGCTGAAATGCCACCTCATCAGAGAGATGTTTCTTGACCACCTGACTTCAGCCCTGGTATATGGCACATAGTAGATGTTGAACAAACACTTCATGCATGAATGAAGGAAGGAAGGAATGGATTTTGTGGAGACGTTCTGAGCAGATGACTCATGGGCACATGCTCAGGGCACAGTCTCTCCGTGCATTCTCTGCCCACACTTGAAGTGAACCTCAGAGCAGGTGTCCAAGAGAACCAGCCTCTGCAGCTTCTAGTCCCCAGGCAGTTCTTTGCCAACATTCATTCTAAGGCGAGCACACTAAGAGGGCATCCCATGCGAGTAGCCCAACCAATTCCCCAGAAATGCTCCACATCCAACTTAAGGCAGAAGTTCCATGGCAAGGTTTTAGGGAACCCAGACATTTCTAAGAAGTCACCTTACTGAATGCACCACATGGAGACAGGCCACATGGTGTTCTCAGTGGCCAATAATTCCAAGTGCTCACGTGCTTGTTGAGCCAGATGCTGCTGTAGTTAAGCAAGTGCAAAAGCTTCACTGTCTCATCTGATTGTCCCAACAAGTCCATGATAGCCCATTCTATAGAGAGGGAAACTGAGGCACAGAGGTGAAGTAACTTCCCAGTAAGTGGTGGAACCGGGATTTGAGATCAGGCTGTCAGACTTCAGAGTATGTGCTCTTAGCAATGCTACACTAAACCAAGCTCTCCCACCATGGCTTAGAGGCTGAGACAGGAAGCTCTAACTAACAAAAACAATCTCCCTAGAATTAATCTGGGAAAGAGGGATAAGGTAGTTTGGTCCTCCTCTCTGCCAAGGAAGAGCAAAGACATGCTTTCCACCTGCTCTGACCAGAAGGCAGTGTTCACAGGCAGGATGAGATGAGGCAGGGAGACTTCCCTACTTGCTGTTCCTCACACTGTTCCCTGCCCTTTTCTGTCTGGTACCTTCACCACATTGTTCCCCCTGCCTGTCTACCTCCAATTCACATCTGCTGTTCAAAGACAGCTTCAAAGGTCACTGTCTCCATGAGGCCTTTTCTGATCTACCTCAAGCAAATTCATATCCACTCCTTTTAATTTCAAGGGGCTGTGTTTATCTTTTTTTTGAGGACACAGGCATTTTCTGTCTTGTTTTCTAGTTGTGTGGTTCCATTCCTATTTCTTCCATCAGATTGTGAGCTTCTGGAAAGGTGTCTTACCCAGCCCTCTCACACTGGGATTGAGGATAACACCCTGTGCAAAATGGGTTCTCAGTCTGTACTGAATGGAGGAGATAAGCCAAAGAAGAAACTGGTCTACTAGCTCTGCAATCTCTTCAGAGGGGGGCCTGGTGTCCTTAGAAACAGTAGTTCTAATTCCAACCTCCCCTTCTACACCCCCACCCCTGATAAGTTTGGAGCAGGAATGTCAAATACATGACATGCTAATACATGACATGTTACCACTACTGCCTATCTGGCACCCGTGGCAGACATCACCAATCAATCCCAGCACTCCTTACCACTATTCCAAGATGCAACTTCAGAATCCTCCTCAACATAGTGTTCCAGGAAGTCACTACCACTGGAGCAGAGATGGCACATGAGATGAAACCTATTTGTCACTTATTTTGCAGATGAAGGGACTGAAGCCCAGAGAGGGGAAGTGACTTCACACAAGGTCGCCCAGCTGGTTAGTGGTGCAGCTGGCACCAGGTCCTGGAGTTTCTGAGTCAGAGGCCAGGGCAGACCCCATCATGTGGGGTCTGTGGGGCCATCTGGAGTTAAGCCAGCCTTAAGAGCCCTGTGTGCCCTAGAGGTGGGCTGAAGCTTTTGGCCTGGACCTTGGAGCTGGCTCAGCCCTGAGGAGGCAGGCACGGGGGCTGTATAAGTGGGTACATTTGCCACCTTTCTCTGTCGATCAGAGGGGCTGAGGACCCAGGGAAGCAGGAGGCCACACTGACCCTCCTTTTAGGGTGGCTGAGTTTCCATCCTGCAAGTTGGTTTGACCTCCCTCTCTCTCCCCTCCTGCCCCCAGCAGACGCCAGATTTGTTGGATTTTCTAATGATGGTTTCCAGGTCACCTGATTGACCTCAGACCCACTCAGGACACCTAGCACTTCCCCAGAAGTCTCTAGGGGAGCCCTGGGAGGCTCAGGCATCAGTCATTTGGGTCCAAGTGAGTGAGGAGGGGGCAGAAGTGAAAATGTCATGTCATGGGGAGAAGGAAGTTGAACAGTATTTTGGGGCCCCCACGCTCCCCTTTTCTCCTTTCTAT